TCACAAATACACAAAGAAACTAACTCCTTTTTCAGATTTAATAATGATTTATTGGTTTCATCTTGTTTATTATTGCTCTCCCCCAATTTAACTATTAAAAATCAAACTTGAACCCACAAAACATCTATCCATGTTTCGTTTGAGATCTCGACACAATCTGGTATACTTTATACTGCCAACTCGTAAGTTTAGTGGTTTAAATATTAACAAAGCTTAAGCAACCCGAGATGATGATGGTTTCTGTGCTCTTGGCGATGCTGTGGAATTATTCAAAAACCAATGCAACCATGACGAGACTGGGAAAAGGAATACTCAAAAAGCAAATAAGCAAATGCATTATACGATCGAATGGGCAAATAAACTGAAAACTTGAAACTGACATTTTTATGCCAAATTATCTACAAATGTGAAGCTGTTCAGGAAGAAGAAAATGCTTAAGAAATATTTCTATTTTGCGTTGAAAAGTAACATGACAACGTCTCCTTTGCAGTAGCAGGATTCAAATTGAATTTATTGCAACATTAGATTTGTAGCATTCAATAATGGTAGATACAAGACTTTTTATTGAAGGAAAATGTTAGAAGAATTTGTACTGAATAAAGTAGAACTTCAAGTTATTTGAGTAGACAATGAAATAACCCATATTTAAATGAAATTTAAAAAGTTATATATAGAAAATATAGAAAAAATATTAATTTTTTTATTATTTCAAAATTTAATATTAGTTTTAAGTGAATTAAAATTTATCACATGTTTTCTAAATAACTATTTGGTTTAAATATAATTTATTGCCTAGTCTATGTCACAAATGCCACCACATTTTACGGAACTTGGTTAAGCTTTAAGAAAATAAGGACGTTTTTTATATATAATGACATTATTTAAAATAATTTGAATTTAATTTAAGTTGACCTTGCAAAGACAAAGCCTGTGTTTACTAACAATGAAACAATCCAGCAATTCTACAGCCTCACTGCAATGTGAGCTGCAAAATATAATAAAAATACGCATTGTGTACCCGCATTACGGCATCCAAAATAATTGAAAAGAGCACAATGTGTTAACACTTTAAGTGGAAAACTTTTTAACTTGGAACAAAAAAAAATCATAACATTTATTTTAATATATGACGTATTTAGTGCAGAATCAAATATGGACTAATAAGAGCACATTTTTAACAAAAATTCACAGTCACATTGTTATTAAGTATCTGTGAGATATTGATACTGGCTTGATCATGTCATGAGAATGGATGAAGACGCTCCAACGAAAAAGGTGTTTGAAGCAGTATTTGGCGGAAGAAGACGTAGAGGTAGACCGTTTCTCCGGTGGAGTGATCAAGTTGAGGGAGCACTAGCTGAAATTGATGTACGAGATTGGAGAAGGCGCGCACGCAGCAGAGGCACCTGGGGAGACATGCTGCGTCAGCTCGAAACTCGGTAACGGGTTATTATGGCCAAAATAAGTAAGTAAGAGATGTTAATATCGTCAAAGTATCAGGAATTAATCGACGAAAAAGATTTTGGTCTTCATTAAGCAAAGTAAAAGTCCGCATTTGGGTTGGTTAAGAATAAAGTGAGAATATATATATTCTTATTGTATAGTATATTCTATACCTTCAATTAAGCTTTAACACATTTCTTACTCATTAAGCTGTAACAATCAGTTATTCCCTCTCTACCTCTTCAGGTGCCTTTGTTACGTGCGATTTATCTGTAAATTTTATATGAGAAAATTAAAAAACAGAATGTTCCGTGTAGCTACTTATGCATTAAGTTTATAATATATAAGAATTTACATTTAAATTTATCACCACAGAGCAAGTTAAAGCTTGAGTAGATTCATTATTAAATACATTTAGTTAATTTTAAGACAGAACATGGCCAAGAAAATTACTTATTATATTTCAAATAGAAAATGATTATAAAAAAATAATAAAATTAATAAAGTTTTACAAAAATTACGTTACTCCAGTGTTGAACATTAAGCTCAGTTAGTGCTCCCTCAACTTTGATTACACCATTTGATACAGTTTTCCCCTCATACACAGTTTAGATATTTTTTAGCATCTATCCTTACGTTTTGATCATGACAATAAAGTCACTAGATTTTATTGTCGTGATGGAGCTTGAACTGCTTGTGTTTGTTTACTATGATTCTGTAGTCATCACCAACTTATACAGCACAAAAGATTTCAAGAGAAACAGTTCTGTCGAAAACTTCTAGTACTACTTAATCATTCTATTATAGCATCCATGTTTGTGCTCTATATAAAAGCATAGGTAGCATTTGCGATAAATAAAGTGTAAATTTTGTCGGTTCACAGTCCAATTGCTTCCTAACCCCACAGTGTTACCCATTGACGATGGTAATTTATGCACAGGTAGGACAAATGACCAATTAAGATTTGTTGCTAGGGATATTGCTTTGCATTCCACTCGTCTATTGAGCCCATAGTATTATATATATATTTTTCCCCTATAACACATTACTGTTATATTCGTACTCAGAAAGTAAGCAATGTAAAAAAATTTTCTTTGAATTGATTGTATTTGCATTTTCCATTAAATAAGTAAATACTTAAGTACAATAGCTTTTAAGAAATTCTCGCTTCAAACAATGAAAGTCTCTTAAATGTTAGACGATTTTTAACAACTGCAAAAATTTTAAGTGATTCCACCGGTTCAGTCGTGAAGTTCACAAAGTTCAATTGTTTTATTTTCCAAAAAATAGGAAAACACTAAATTTCCATTATTTTCTCACAGTTTCATTCCATTCAGTGACTTTTTCCCCCCAATTTTAAGGTACGCGGCGTTACCTCGTTTAAGTGCCAATTTCGGTTATTATTGTTTGTTTTTTAACTTAAAAAAGCACACCAAATGCGGTTGATAAAAATTTGTGAAAATTTCTTTTCATTACTTTTCTTTTTTTTTTGTGAATTTATTCTATTTTCACTAATAATTGAAACGAAAAGGACTGCACTTCGCAATGCTGTTTGCAAATGTTGCACAAATTGTTTCAAGGATTTTTTTGATTTGCACTTGCATTTTGATTATTTTTACTTAAATCAAATTTAATTTTAAAAATGCACATAGGAAAAAATATAACAAAATTATTTCTGTTAGTGCTTACAAATTTATCTAGCAGATATATTTAAATATTCTAATGACTAACATCACCCCTTCGTTGCAGTTGCAGTTGCAGATTTACAAAATAAAAAATCTGAATTTTTTATTTAAACTCAAAATAAAATGGTGACATAGTGAAAATTATAAATATATCTAGAAAATCCAAATAAAAAATATTTAACAGCCATTTTATGTGTACTGACAAATTCATTTTAATTAAATACTAAATGCAATTTTGTGAAAATGTTGAAAAAATATTGTACATGAAAATAATTATATTATTATTTTAAACTTTGTTAGTATTATTGAATTTTTTGTTAAAAACTAATTTTTATTAGTTCTAAAATGCTTTTAAAAATTTAGCTATTATATATTTAGTCTCATATATGTGTAGTGTATTTTATTCAATATCAAAATAATCCAATATAATAGCCATTCAGTATATATTGATGTAAATAGTAAACACTTTTAAACTAAAATAAGCATATTTGTGTTTCTAAATGCATTCTATTTAGTATATACAAAGATTTACTAAATAGATACATTAATATGGATTGATGGTAAATATGCAAAAAAAAAAATGCAGATATAATTTGATATTTATCAAAGCCACATTGGAAAGATCAGAACAATTATACATTTACAAATTAGAATTATATTACAATTATACAAAAATTAATTTAAGATTAATAAGTAATTTATTATAGGTATATTATTATATACTATATTTAAAACATGAATTAGACTAATCTTCATTATGATTAATATAAATATATGTAAAGAAAATTAAAGGCTATAACATAATAATAGGAAAAGTCTAGGCAATAATGACGTTACTAATAAAATTTTAAAGAAACCGCTTTATAAAACATTGATTTATATATAGGAAACGATTTAATACTCCTATCAGATTTAAATATATTCAACCTGCAAATCTAGAATATACTTGAAATCGACAGAATATACTTAAGTTCAGATGATACAAAAACTAAGATAACTTAAAAGTTAAATGATCCACTTCAGGGATGTAGACTGTTTAGTATGTAGTCGGAGCCCAGTATGTGGCCCGGAGCCCAGAATACCATTGGCGTACAGCATGACGGCAGCCTATTTCTATAAGTGGATAATCTCACTCTATGTTGAAACTCATGTTGCCTGAACCGTGGTCCAGGGAAGCGATAAAAGTGTTTAGCTATTCGCGGAGCACTCTAAGCTGGCTGACCTCACTAATTACTGGACATGGCAACTTCAAGTATCACCTCAAAAAGATAACTCTTGCTGAGGAACACACTTGCAGACTATGTCTAGAAGAAAAGGAGACAGCGGTGCATATATTGTGCCAATGTCCAGCACTGGCAAGTAGGAGGAAGACTGTCTTGGGACAGCATTGGGTTGGTGACGACTTGGCAGGAAACCTCAAGCTAAATGAGATGCTTGCATTAACAAAAGATGTAGTTATGCGAACGGAAGCCACTCTAGCTTTAACTCAATAACAACATCCGAGAATCGAAGGACGAAAAAGGACCCAAGTCGTTTCGTGGTCTACTTCGACTAATCCTTCACTTCAGTGGGGCCACTTGTTGGACAGTGCGCTGTCCCAACGTATATA